AATCCCCCCAGCAGCGTGAGGAGAATCCGCAGGCCCACCGTACGAGAGGGCCCTTCAAATTTATACTCATTTTTTGTAGTTAGACCACATGAACTCTCGTTGTAAATTGGGATGGATTATTATGAGTTTCCCTGTTGTACGATATAAACTTGTTGATTTATATAAATAATCCCGTTATGGATATATGTTCAAATATTTATACATCAAAAAAAAAAGTTTTATGGTCTTAGGACGTAAAATCGGTTGCGGAGTAACTCGATATAAACGAGAAAGGTCGACGACAAAAAGTCCCCTGGACTAAGACCTTCGACGTCGACTGGTGCGGGGGACAAGCACGAAACTCTAGTCCGATTCCGACGTCGGCCACCTCTTCTGCCCCCTCTTTTTTCTTAGAGCAGGAAGGCACAAAATAGAATATAACTAATATACCTAGTAATAATAAAACAAAAATTTCGAGTTATTTATTGTTTCTTCTGGAAAACTGGCCGTGAAAAGTCTAAATTTTGAAATTTGCCTGTACAACTGGCCGGCTTTTTTTTAGATTGTTGGACTTTGAGACGGCCTGCCAGGGGAGCAAAGAACCTTCTCGACTCTCCACCCAGCAAACAGTAGAGACCACCTAATGGCCTCTCTTAATGGCACGAACGGACGCCGGCCCCCGTCCCTCAACGTAACTTAACGTCCTCGTTTGACGCACGGAGCACCCTCCCTCTTTTTTTCCTCGGTGCTCCCTTCGGTGTATTGTGTTCGTTCGCGTTGTCCACCCCCCACTTGTAAATAAAATAGTACTTTACCACTGCACCCCCCAACAACTCCTGGGCTATGCCCCGGATCTCCTACAATCCTAAATCCGCCACTGGGTAGGAGCATATACAGCGTTAGCTTAGCCGATCTCCATTCAGAAAACACGCATTTTAAAAGGTTTTTTGCCTGCCGTCTTCTCTGCAGATTTGTCAAAGCATTAATTCATGGTTTTTACTAACCGGTATCAGTATGTAGTTACTTCGGCATCATTTTGAAACGCGTATTACAATTAAATCACGGTAAAATATGTTAATTTTGTTGTAGTTGCCAGCGATTCTCTCACTAGTTTAGCATACTCAGCCCGGTTGTTGGCCCGGAAAGAACCTCAATTTTGGAGAGCCAGAAAAACTGTGAAAAAGTACCCGCTAGCCGGAACTACGCCTAATGGAAACGTAACCAAAAACGGGCCAGGCACGGCACGCTTAAACCGCGCTCCGCGCTGTAGTGGAAACGCGCCATTATTGTAAAGTGGTACCCATTTTCTGGTTATTTGTCCCGTTCTCTTGATTGCGATAACTCAGGAATGCCTTAATAATTTCTTCAAATTTGGCCAAAACTTCAACGTCGACTCAAGGAGGAAATGATTTTATTTTGAGGGTCAAAGATCAAAGGTCAAGGTCAATGTGACCTAATGTTTCAAGTTTGGCTTAAATGTCCGATTTGACACAAGGAAGAACTGATTTTGATAGTCAAAACATCAAGTTCACTGTGACCTAACAAAACATGTTTTTGGCCGATCAGTCAAAACAAACTTACTAACTAACTATGACAATTTAATGATAAAAAACATGATATTTTGGACAGGCATGATTGTAACCTACAACTTGACTGCTTAAGAACTAACACAGTAAAGCGATGAAACGCAAGGTGGTAATTCTAGTTTAATTCTACTGCCTTTTATTTGTCTTGCCGGCCATCGTCATCGGCATTATTGTTTTGTTTTTGTTTAAAACTCATTGTCTAACATGAAATCCTTCATTGCACATTGTCTAACCTGACCTCATTCAGTGCATCAAGCTCATATAGGACCTCATGCAAGCATAACTTAAGATGCATTTATTTCCCCATGCATTTGTAAGAAGAGTCTAACCTTATTGGGCACTAAATGTATTTGTTGGCTTTAAATTAAGAATCTTCTGACTGCAAGTACAAGAGCAAAATGTGAATGTTTTGGTCTTGTTCGACCCACAGCACTTTCTCTCTTTTGAGAGAAATGTGGGACCATACTATGAGGTTTTTAATTAAACCATGTTTCTTTAATACTCTGTTTTTTTTTTTTTGCAGAATAAACTACACGGCACATTCTGAAATATCTGAGGTGATGATTTTAAGCACTGCAGAGGACTATCAGTTTGTTGACAGAAAGAGTGCCAGGGGTAAAGATGACTATTTGCTGTTAATATCAACCCAAATCTCTCTGTGAGCATTGGTGTGGGAAAGGTGTGTGCAATATTTGAGTTGATAGTGCCAACTGTCCATCAAGAAACTGACTATCCACAGTAAACTCCTACAAATTATTAAAAAAACTTTAATCTCCAACTTTACATCCACCTCTCCAAAATCCATCAGAATTCTGTCTGAAAAATGTGTAGGAGACACCGCAGGATGAACCAACAATTGTTCAGCTGCCGACAGAAGATTGTTCTCTGCTGGATATTAAACTGCCTCAACATTTTCCTTCGAGCTATTCCTGGCCCTCCCTCATGATGGCAATCACACAAAGCCGAGAGAAACACAGGGTGTGACATATAGAAAGTAACTCTCCCTTTGGCATTGTGTTAAAGCTTTTCTTAGTTTTCTGCAACATTTATTTAGGTTAATGACCTTTGTAGGAATCAGTTTTTATTGTGTGATTTAGAAAGCCAAATGGATTTTTTTCAATTTGTATTTTTACTAAAGTCTTAATTACTGTCTCTATTATAACATATTTGTTTTAGATAATTGGCTACATTGGTTCAGTTATTAGAACTGTTCCAAATACCATATGGTGAAAAAGAGGCATAAAGTCTATTGCCCAGTAATGGGTTAACCATGCAAAGCTAGTGAACGTTGACGTAAGAACTTGATATATGAGAGTAATTGTACTAAATGTGATTTTATACTTGTATACATATCACTTGTAATTTACATGTTTAAGGTTGCCATTGTGCTGTGGCCTTTTTGGGGGGTTTCGAAAAAGGCAAGACAAAAAGGGCTTGAAAATAGTTTAAGAAATGTACAGAATATAATGTCCTGGCTCTACGTCCATGGGGTAGACACATTGAAAACATCTGTAATGCGGTCATTTTTAAGCCATTGATGTTGGTGTGATAAATTGTACTGTTTTGAAAGATGTACCTGATGTTTTTCCTCGCAAACAAAAGTGCAATCCAGTGTAATGCTTTGAACTCTTACATTTTACATTGCACAGTGGTTGTTTGAAATGTGTTCACCCTCAGTACGATGATTTTCCCACCCCTAAAAGACTGTGGAAAAGCAAATAATTAACCACTAATCAGCCATTGAGGAAGCAAGCAGATTGTGAACCACTTATTTGCTTTTGGGGAATTCATTTACATATTTTTACCATCTTCAGTTTTATCAGCTGCCTTCTCACACACATTACATCCTTTTTCAAGTTCACATTACATTTGATTAAAATGTGTGATGATTGTCTTGATTTCTTAAAGTCAAATTGTATTGATTTCCTTTAAATCCAACATTAAGTGTGTGTTACTTGACAAGCCACATCCATCCATCATCGGACCGAAAAAGTCCATGACAGCCGGGGACATAGCAGGGAAAATAGAAAGAGGGAGCAACTGAGGTGAAGGACATTTTTGTGGAAATCAAGATTCAAATGGTTTAATCTGCATGAGGAGCACAGGCAATCAGACAGCAGCATATTGCTCTGTGGCTTTATTCTCCCAGGGTTTACACCACAAGTAATTTCTGAAGCTGCTGGTTTCACCCTGGGGAGCTGCGTTCAGGTGAGCCAGGAGCAGAGCCACAGCACAACAGATGCTTGGACAGGAAGGAGGAAGGATGTAAAACGCTGCAATAATCACAATCTGACCCAGACCGAGAATGTAGGATACGTTTCTCAACCACCCCCTCAGATAATCAGAAGGGTTTTATTTTTGGTAGAACGTTTATTGGGTTGATTAAAAAAAAATATTTTCGGTTAAGAGAATTGAATTAATGTTTACATTTGGACTATTAATGGAGAAAAATGACAGCCAAATCTGTAAGTGTGAAGCAATTTTTCAATTTAACTCATCCAATGTACGCAGGATAACACACTTGTCTTGATGTCAGTTTATATGAATAAAGGATCATAATATACCACATTTCCTGTTGTGTTCAATTGCATCTAAATTATAATGTCTTATCAATATCAACAACATACAACCTAATCTTAATTACATCTTTTGGGTTCTAACATTTAAATCACTCTTGAAGAGGGCGTTGTGATTCATGGAGGGGAAAAAATACTAGAATTAAGAGGACAACTTTAATTACAGTACGAATTTATTCCAATTAACAGAATACAGAATGTTTTTCTCCACCGCCCAAACTCATACAGTCAACACCAGGAAGTCAAGATAAATACATCGAATAATATATTGCATATTGTATGCAAAAACACATACAACATACAGTCAATGTTTAAAACAATAATTGCTTGATAAAGCAGCAAATGTGAAGACTTTGCCACTTTATGAGGATGCTTCTTGACATACGTAGCTCCAACTGAACAGTGCTTGACTGAATACTTAATAAACAAAGAGGCTTAAAAAGCACTATACCTCTTGGAGAAGATTGAGTCTTTGTTGGCATTAAAAAGCCTCAAGGAATAACTTAACGGAACACCTTAAAGCCGCAGTCACCAGCATGGTAAGACACCTCTGAGGTTTTTTAAATACCAATATGAAAACGGGGTCTTGTTTGTTGATCGCTTTCTTCCATCTGGCTTCACTGGACTTCAGATCTGATTAACATCTTTATACAAAGGTCCTCGTCAGTCAGTAGGCTCCAACAATAACTGCCTCCGTTTCTTTAGAAGGTCTCCTGTCCGTTACTAAAAAGTTGATCATTCCCTCTGACTTTATGAGAAGGTTGCATCCCAAGAAAAATATGCCAAAGACCACCGTGAGGGACAAAACGCACATCACTGCTATCTGGACCACCCTCATGACGAAGAGGCTCCTCTCATCCGGAGCAGCGGGCACAAAGCCGTTATCAGTCACCACGGAGGAAAAGTTGCAGCAGAATAACTCTTCGGTCTTGTTGAGCAGTCCTCCCTCCGTTTGGTTGAACCCGGTGTTATTCATTTCCACTTTTTAGAAAAATGTCAAACTTGAGTTTGAGAGATGCGAGAGCCAAAGAGGAAACAACTCGCCTTGTTACAATCCCTGAGAAATGTGTCATCAGGTGGAAAGTAAAGATGATGTTGATGATGAGGCGCAGAACTGAAGAAGTTCCGTCAGGTCAGACAGTGCTCTTCGGGAGTTTAACAAGCTGCTTTGGCATCACATTACTGGAGATTTCATGTGGTCTGTAGCCAGTTTCAGGACGAAATGACTCCTCCCAAACCGCGGGTAAGTAGCCAGACAGTAGCTGCCTGCGTTAAAACGCTTAAGTGGAATGACGACAGTGTCACGACACAGCACGAGCGCCACCATACGACCAGACTGCGCACGTGTCTCAGGAGTGTCCAACGAAACATTACTGTATGAGGTACATTATGTCCTGTTTGTGTTCTAAGATCTAACATCTGCAAATATCTTTAGTCTTTATAATGATATAATTTATAATGATTTATAATTTATAGAGTCAATTGGCTTTTAGCTTTTTTATTGGTTTATTGTTACTTTTGGAAAAAAACACTTTTTGGTACACTTTCAGGATTTTGACAAAAAAACAACGTGAATTCCTTCCATCAAGGGCTTACTTTTTTTCAAGTGTTCATTTGTTTAACTTATAAACACAGGTTTTACTAATAACAATAATGTCGTTTATTGTGTTCCAGTAAGACAGTTAGGAAGCACCTTACTAGGACCTTGAAAGTTAACGGAAGCAACTAAAAATAATTCAGCTATGATTAATTTTTTATTATTTGCATCCGTGCTTTTCCTACTGTGTCAAGTCAGAAGAGAACAACTTCTTTCTTCACTACTGCCGCAAAAACAAAAGCTGACCAACAAGCAGAGGTTGAAGACATTATTTAGATATGTGTTGTAAGCACATCAGACAGTAATTCAGCAAAACAAAAATATATATGATTTAATATTGTTCAACTAATGTTCTAGCCAGCTGCACAAAGCAATGACACAAGGTGTTCATCCCTCTCTCTAGAACAAAGAGAAACCAAGACATCCACTGACATCTAGTGGATGCTTTGAGTCCAGTGACGTGCGGTGAGGCGGTGTGGTGCTAGTGGAGCCACACTGTAGGTGTAGCGTTTGCGCTTCAGAGGAGGCTCCCTCCGCAAAATGAGGCCCCATCTGCGAGGGGTCTGCGTGATCTGCGTGTAGGGAGGGGCGGCCATGTATAATAACGTCATTTTAAATGCAGTCATTTGGTCTTTAGCAACAGCTTGTGAGAGCAGTGCATTCATCTGTGTTCGTTTTAATGCTGCCAGTTTGTTGACGGCCTGTGTGTTGATGGGACTTCTCATGCTCCCTAAATGTTTCCCCTGCCTTTCGCCAGTTTCCCCTGCCTTTCGCCAGTTTCCCCTGCCTTTCGCCTTTCTGCCAAACTCCCATCCCTGATCTTGTCTGGACTGATGAGCTTCTTTTCTATAGCAGAGCAACAGAAGAAGCACACCGCATTATCCATTTCTCTTATATAGTGAAGCTTTTTATAGACTGCTTACACTAAAATGCTAACTCAAAAATAAAACATATGTATTGATTTGTTCAATGAACTTTTTGGCGTTGCAGTTACAACTCTCCTGCTGCAGCCCCCTCAGCACCCCCCCCTTCCCGCGTCCCTGACATCGCTGTTTGAGTCTCGTGTTATATGACATGTTATTCTACATACATACATGCAATTATGAATGTTAGTCTAATGTACAGTGAATTGACCACATTGTACATCTCAGCTTTAGTAATATAGTTGTTTACAATTATATATACATTAGAGCTTTATTTAAAAGGTGAATCTACAGTTTTTGACAGTACTTTTGAAAGGACATCAGAGTTATCATAGACTGCTGAACACTACAGATTCAACTCTCATCATAAACAGCAGATGGCAGCAATGCTCAACATGATTTCCCCAAGGGCTGCCATAAAAAGCTGCAGTGTAAAACACGGTTTAATTTGCGAAACGTGTACTGTGGTGTTGATTTAACCTGAATGCGAATAACTTTACAGAATACTGTTTTTGTATTTACGTTTATTTTATTTCACTTATTTTTTTAGCAGACAGTCCTATTGAGCTCAAAACACTAGAAAGAACTGAAAGAAATGTATGAAATGATTTGTATAGGAGAATATTTGTCCAAAGGATAAAACACAATACATTATTTGTATTGTAGACCTTTGGGTTAATGTTTTAGTGAGAATAGTTAATCTAAGATAAATGACAACATAAATATACTTGAGAAACATTAGGATTATTTTAATTACTAGATTCATGGATGTTATTAATCATACAAAAAGTTAAACCTAAAGCTAAATATTTCCTTAAAGCTATAAATCAATTGAAACAGAGTTTTGAGTCATCGATAGTATCAATAGGTATTTTACAAACCAAAAAACAACAACTTAAACATAACTGTACTGAAGGTTTCCCCCCAATCCACAAACCATAATTACATTCAACTAACTGCACATCTAAATGGACATAATCAGCGTAACATTATAACAAATATATAATTGTACTGCCAAGGACGACACA